AGATTTTAGTAATTAAGTAAGTCGAAGTAACAAGTACATATTTTACAATGGTCCTCATTTGTATGTAGTACACATTTAAATAAAACTTTGCGTGAATCGGTCGTGTATTTTTTACAACTAATGACAATATTTTAACTCTGTAAACTCATGGTCTCGTCCATTTCCGCTTGATCATCAACTCTTTACAGTCAAAGCGAAGTCACGATAAATAAAAAAACTCTATAATCTTAAAAAACCATTTCAATGTATGTAGAGTCAGTTATATATATAATATATATAAAAAGTATAAAGGGCTTACTTTTAAGCTTTAGGGATTGAAAATTTTACATTCCTTAAGACTAGGAAAAATATATAAACAACCAATGACGAAGCACTTACATTTAATAGAAAGTATCTAAATTCCTGTGCTACGTTTTGTAACCAATAAGGCAATAGAAAAGAGACTAAAAATATCTCACTAAGGATCGCTTCGAAATACCATAGTATTAATAAAATTTCCACTATAAATTTCTTTACATTTGCATTCAGTACACAAACATTAATTAAAAGAAAAGAAAAGTAAAATGGCTGCGCAAGTAGTCTTTGGCAAGTGTTTTTAAGAAAAAAACACCTAAATTCCTGTGCTACGTTTTGTAACCAATAAGCCAATAGAAAATAGACTAAAAAAATCTCACTAAAGATCACTTCTAAACCATAATATCAATTTCTACCATAAATTTCTTTGCTTTTGCATTCAGTACACAAACATGAATTTTAAAAAAGAAAACTAAGTATAATGGCTGCGAAAGTAGTCTATGGCAAATTTTCATTTAATGTGTCACTACTGTTTTACTTCCTCGTATTCGAAGTGACAAGCAGATTTACTGTTGTAGAACATATTAAACACACACAGCCAGCTCAAATCGTGCGACTGAATATCTGTTACGAAATGTTGAATAGTGTACTTACTACTTTATTTTTATGAATATCATGATTTTTACAACCACGACATTCATACATTTTTTGTGAAGATACTCCACTAGTTTGTTGTTATTATTAGTACAAAGACCGAACTAATACATCTCGAACCAGTTACTTTTACGCCAAACCAGGGCTACCGCTCTCCTAAATGAGCTAACGAATTTCTCTATGTAATAGATATATATAAAACAGGCGTTAAAACAAAAAACAAAGATCTGCAACGAGCACATACGTTTTAAACAAACGCAATCTCACCCGATGTTAAGCGACGACGCCACCAACGATTTATAAAAAAGAAAAATATTTTAATAAAAAATAATAGACACACGCTTGGCCACAATCTCACCTAATGTTAAGCGACGGATGTGACCGACGATGGTACGCGTTTACCTAAAAAATGCCCATTCACTCTAGCCTTGAATAGTGGGGCTATTGGGCATTGTACTTTTCGGGAAACACATATGCCGTAGAGTATTCCATTCCTTTGCCGTACGCATCAGAAAGGAGGAAGCAAAGCGCTTACAGCCCGTTCCCACTAGTCGGCTGTCTGGCACGGATTTTAATCGGGTGTCGGCGCCTCTGTTCACACTAAATCGGTTGTCGGCCACGGTCGAAACTGGTGACAATTTTCTCTACGCGAGGCAACTGTGCGCGATAGACGTCGACGAAGTTCTTGTTGTAATGTGTTATTATTTGAGAAGAGAACTAATTAAGACAGCTAAGGAAAGAAAATATTGAGTGCACCCAATCCGGAGGGAAAAAACAAGCGGTAGCGGAGAGCGGGTTGTCGGCCCCAATATCCGACAAATGTGAACATCGTTATACTTACTCACATAGGCGAGCGAGATCCGACACGATTTTTTTCAGGGCGTTGAAGGCTGGCAAATCACCCGACATTTCTTGTTCACGCCTACACAAAATCGGGTTTAGACGAGTGTGAATGGCAATGCTCTGGCACTGGAACATCCGATTAAAATCCGGGCCCGACAGCCGACAAGTGAGAACGGGCTCTTAGTGCGAATGGGAGGTATTTTAACGACATAAGGATGGAGTGTTTCGGACCTTCTCTAGTCGACCGAAGGAGGAACGGTGAGAGTGGAATGTAATTGAAAAGTTCCTGCGCACACTCCCCGAAACGTATCCGATAGAAAACCGACAAGCAGGCTACTTTTCTGATTTTGTCTAAAGAATGCCTGTGGACTCCAGCCTTGAATAGCCCCACAATGTAGTTTTCGGGGAACACCAATGGCGGTAGTGCAAGCATTCCTTTATCGTATATATGTATAATGCATATCATAAATACATTTTTCAATACATCTAATAATTAACTGCCATACTTTAATATAGCTTGCACACTTGTCTTATTTACCGTGTATACATAGGCAATTCTTGATATAAATCCGACACCACGTCCGTTTACACTAATTGGATCAATGCACTTTCTAACTATCAGAAGTTATTATCACATGAAAATGTTAGATAAATTATGTTGGTTTAAAATGATGTGAACGGTAAAACTAACCAATAATAACTTACTCAAAGTAAGTAGTCAATTTTATACGTACATTCAGTGTTCAATCTCATCTCATCTGCTAACGCACATAAATGCGTACACGACACAGGGAAGTTAGTTAAGGACGATAAGATTTATTGGTTATAGCTATACACAATCTCAGTGATGGAAAGTGACGACATAGTGGAGAATGGAACATACAAAGTGCCTTTGCAATGTTGCCTTCAAAAGCACCACGTTCTGTGTCGGGACACAAAAAGTATAAATGTCTTAATTAAGTAAGCAAGTAATTTATTTGTACATAAAAACAAATGCAATTCAATTTCATATAACAGCCATTCAGCCATGGAAGTGATAATATATTATATTACACATTATGGAATATGTACGTATGTTTAAGACATGTACTTTTAAACTTTTTCTAACGCGGTTACACTGGCACCTACGTACACTGGGCAAAGCCTGTCTCGTAGGTAACCATAAAGTATACCTAATGTCAACTTAAACTATAGTTTTTCGTTTTATGGCAGCTTATTTATTTATTTCTCTCGTGAGTTTGGATGTAATATGTGGTTATATATGTGTCTGTCCAAGACACATCGACTCATCCGAAGAACAGAGTCTGATGTGATTATATAGCGAAAAGAGAATAAGTACGTTATGATAATAATTTCGTTATTCAAATTAAGGCTTATGTAAAGGCGTGTTGAGAATTCGTATATTCTTATTTCGTTTCGGAAATGTAAAATCGAACAACGGTCGATCTGACATCCACAGCGAAGAAGAAGGAAATGTATTACGTCCTGAGAACAAGCAGTTTTGCATATCATAGATCTTTGTTCTACGGATGAGTCGACATAGACAACCGTTTCCCTCGTGCGGGGCTACGTGGAGTGTGTACGTTATTATTAAAAATTAATTTATATCATGTGACGGTACGATCAAGTCGTGCGCCTGATGGTAAGCTTCACACCTGTTCCATAACAGTTGCAGTGCCGCTTTAAATCGCAAAGATCTAAGGGGCCCCTGCGCTCGTCACCCTGAGGCATAAGTTGACAAGATCCATGTGCCTGTAATTTCACCAGCACCCTTACCCTTTAAAACCGGAACGTAGTAATGCTCACATTACTGCTTGGCGGCAGAAATAGGTAAGGTGAAAGTACTTCCCTGGACGAACTCTTTCACAAGCTCTACTGCTACCAATGTAGTAATGCCGTTGATAATGCATATGTACAAATTGTTCCGATTTTAATTTAATTACTGTTCAGGGCCCTAATTTTAAAACATCTCAGTTGAGTGTCGATAGTGTCAATGACAGAATTTTGTACGTTTGGTATTCTGTTAAAAGTTAAGAGTAGTGGAGTGTCCTTCGCTAGCCATCGAGCTATTACTAAACCGCCATTGCAATTTTTTAGTATTTTTTGGTATCACTGCTATTTCACTGAACTCTATTGAGATTCAACTGCCATTGAAACTACATTTTAGCAGAATAACAAATATTATCATAATTGCAACGTAATCACTGTGGAGTCTCAATGGAATTAAAATAATAATAATAATTAAAACTCTTTCAGAGCTTACTGCCTCAATTTTTTATCCAGGTGCACTGTGGACCAACTTCACACAGCGAGCGTACAACGCCTTACCTGTAATTTATAATAACATCTTTAGGGTTCTGTTGAGGCTTCCTCGCTTTTGCGCCTCTGGCATTTGCGGATGCGTGTGTTGTTGATTTTTACGCAATCATGCGCAAAAAAAGTGCGTCACAGATGTTGCGATTGCGTGGAAACATCAATGGTATCTTGAGCATGGTATCAGGAAGAATGGACTCAGCTGTTTTCCGTAGGTTCACGTGAACATATAATAATGTATTTATAATAATAATGTAATTTAATTTAATGTATTGTAATTGTTCTTCCCGTTTCTACTAAACTCATAAAATTGTTACTAGCAAAATATGGACTAATTGGTCTGAGAATAAATGAATTTGAATTCGAAAAAAGATAGACAGAGAGTCCAAAGTAGATGTAATAATAATAACGCACACACTCAAGCCCCGCACTAGGGAAAATCCTGAATCATGGGTAGACATAGACAAGCACAAATTACATCCAAACTCACGAGAGAAATAAATATAGGCCATACAAATATTTCTCCCGGCCCGGGAATTGAACCTGGGACCTCTGCGTGGCAGGCATAGTAACTATTCGCCGAAGGAGGCAGTTAGTTAACAATGACAAGTGGTTGTATTGCCTTAATTTCCATGTTCTAACAGAACCTACAAACAAGCGCATCCTGTCCTATTATCGGAACTATAAATGTCAAAGTAAGACAATACCCCCCGCTACCCGCACCCTTTTCCTTCGTTTAATGTACTGCAAACTCGAAGAGACAGGGCAGGCGCAGACAAGCAAGCGCAGTACGATAGAAGCGCGCGTACGTCTCGCGCGCTCTGCAAAACTTTGTGAACAAAACATGTGCATTATCTGATTTGAACGAGTAGTCATAATAAGGAATTTTCGTTCGTGATACCAGCAGCTTTCTTTCATTCAGGTAAGGGTTAAATAAATTTATTTATAATTACACTTATCATTATTATTTACTATTCGAATTACATAAAACTTTGTTTTAACTTGTTTTACCTAACCTATTAAGTTTTTGTTTAATTTATAGTGAGTGTGACATTTTAATATTATAAATTGTTGTTTATATTACGTTAAAATAAAAATATCACGGATCGTGTAGAAATAAATAATCATTAGATATTTTTTGTGTGAAACTGTGTTCTTTAAAAATATAATTTTTAAACATTGAGCAATATTCGGTTTTTATAACTTAAAAAACGCAAAAAATACCAAAATTTTAAAGCTATTTTCATATTATTTAAAAAAATTGCAGAATGGTCTCCTTTAAGCTAATGTTTTCTAATCAATTTCTAAACATTTTTCTGAATAACCTCATTTGCGTGTATATATATATATATATATATTACTTTAGTTTGTTACAAAAACCGTTTCGTTTATTTAAACTTAAATCGATAAAATCACACTCCTCCCTATGGCTTCACCGTTAATCGGGTAAAATAGTAAGTAGTTTGTTTTCAAATACTATTTTTCGCAATACTACCACACCAGTTACTTAATTTATTAGTAGCAGTAGAGCACCTTGTGAAAAAGTTCGTCGAGGGAAGTACTGCTACCTTACCTAATACTGCCGCCAAGCAGTAATATCAGCATTACTGTTTTGGGTTTAACGGATAAAGGTGCTGGTGAAATTACAGGCACATGTGACTTGTCAACTTATGTCTCAGGGTGGCGGGCGCAGTGGCAGTGCGCCTCAGATTTTTGCGATTCACAGCTCTGTGTGGCACTGCAACTGTTATGGACAGACTTATAGCTTACCATCAGGCGCACGACTTGTTCGTCCCGTCACTTGATATTATAAAAAAAAATTCAAACTTGGACAAGTCAGAATAGCCCAGCAACGAAATTAAACTCAATAGGCACTATGCAAAACGTCATAAGGTTGGTTTTCGTAACTGAGTCATCTATCATGGAACCCTGGACTCAGCTGGCTCCCCGAGTGCTAACCACAAATATACCTTATTGCATACAAACAAAAGACAAAAAGGTACAACAAGTTGCTTTTGCTGATAGCGAGCTCTTACAAGCATCAGTGGAATTACTGGCTTCTCCTTTATTTCTGTTCTACGTTTGGCAATAGTAACATCGCTTCCGTTTAATAATAATAATAAACCATTTATTTCAGGCCCATAAGATAGTGGTGTTAGTTACAAAAAAAACTTAAAACTATGTTAGTATGATTGCAACGAACTGTGAAATATTGACAGAAAATTAAAATTAAAATTTGGAATATAATTTACAATTATTATTTCATTTGACCAGTTGAAATGTTTACCCAAAACTTTAAAATTGTACAGTCAAAACGATAGGCAAACATCTTCATTGCCACAGTCACGCACTCGCTTTAGCAGAGACGACACTTTTTTTCGCGTAATGGCATAAAAGTCATCTGTTCCCGCTTCAGCAAACAAAACTGCCCTCTGCTGGGTACGCGTTTTCTCTCAGTCGAAGGCTTAGGCCATAGTCCACCATGGGTTGGGGTCTTAACACGTTTTCGGTTATGCAACTTCTTCGACGTGCGTTTTTTAGCACGACATTTTCCTTCACCGAAAAGTTTAAAGTAAATTTCGCACATAAATTCCGAGTAACTTAGAGATGCGAGTCCAGATTCAACAACAAAAGACTAAAATCATAATAAATTTAAATTAACTTTTTGTTTATTGACAATATGTCGTGTTCTGTGTGTCGTGTCCAGCCTCCATGGATGACCAACGCCCAGCCTCTATGGATGACAAGATTGACAGGCCACAAAGACAGATTTACTTGACTGACAGGAATTCGAAATTAGACCGACTTTGTTTTGGACAAAAGACGACGACCGACCCTCCTTTCTTTGACAAAGGAAGACGAGTGCATTCCTGAGTAAACCCCCGACGTGAGCAGACGAATTCTCCTGACTAAATTGTACAGATAGACCGTACACTGTGTAGCATACACACAGCACTTCCACAAAGTTTATAGTCTACAATCTCAGCACAGAGTACTAAAAAAACCGACTATATTAATATCAAAAGTCATTAGCCTGTTTAGTGACTACTTTGCCACCCTTACAGGTGGAATATTTTCTTCAAATTTAAATGGGTCGTTGTCGATCGTCTGTTGCTTACACATTTACTCGATTTGTCTGATCACGCGTGTGTCGATTGTCAAAAAATCGAACAAAACTGTAGGCAACTCAATCAATTTGTTGAGGTTGTAGCAAACGTTACGTCTAGTTCCACATTATCAACAGTCATCTGTTCGCGCTGGAAAGCGAAGCGTAGAACGGAACGGTCCATGTGCCGTATAACGGCGCACATAATAATATTATTTAACTTGCGTAATAGGCCCTATGTTCATTTTGCGTGGCTTACTTACTTATTTATCGTTTCTTTGAATGGCTTATATGTAAGGAAGTGGGTTAACAGTGTGGGCTTAAGCGTTAAAAAAGGTTTTTTCTTTATAATCTTTGTCGTTTTATTTTCTTCGTGGCGTAATTAAAATTCCCTTATATGTACAATAATTTTTAACCGATTTCAAAAAAAGGAGGAGGTTCCTAATTTGGTTGTATGTTTTTTGTATGTAGGTATGTTACGCGATAACTCCGCCATTTGTGACCGAAAAAGGGTACCTCAGAAGTGGTCCCATTTAAATTTGAAGAAAATATTTGACCTCTAAGGGTGGTAAACTAGGGGATGAATGACTTTTGAGGTCGGTTTTTTAGTACTTTGTACCGAGGTTACGTTAGGTAGGTTATAAATAATGAATTCACTCATGTGGTTATTTTTTCCTGTTATGAATCAATGGGATCCATTTATTTTTTAACCGATTAAAAAATGGCGGACGTTTTCAATAAGTCTGTATTTTTTCTTTGTGTATGTTACGCGATTACTCCAACTTTTGTGAACCGATTTTGATGATTCTTTTTTTTGTTGAAAAAAGGGGTTAACTCAGTAGTGGTCCCTTTTAAGTTTGAATAAAATATTCCACCTCTAAGGGTAGCAAATTATGTGATGAATCCGGTTTATTGAATTCCACCCACTTTCCGTTAACCGATTTCAATAAAACTTGGCATGATGTAATTCCAATCACAATAAAACACAGCGAAAACTTTTGAGATCGGTTTTTTTTTTAAGTTATAATCATATAAGTATATAAGTTATATCAGTGTTGCATTTAATGCATTACAATTTAAATACACTCATGGATATACTGCCTCCGTGGCCGAACGGTTACCGTGCCGGACTGCCACGCCGAGGTCCCAGGTTCGATTCCCGGGCCGGGAGAAATATTTGTATGACCTACATTTATTTCTCTCGTGAGTTTGGGTATAATTTGTGGTTGTTTATGTGTGTGTCCATGGCACCCGCGACACAGGGTTTCCCTAGTGCGGGGCTATGTTGAGTGTGTGCGTTATTATATATACGAATGCTAAGAGTTTGAATTACGATAACAATATTCATAATATACAACGGGTAGCATAATATGCAAGAATATGTTCTTCTAATTTGAAAAATTATGTTTTCCATCGTTTTTTAATTTCGATTAAACGTTTTGGTATATGTGGCCAGTGGTTTATATGAACGTTGTTGTATATTTCAACCTTTTTAGCTTTTTCTTGTTTCTGTAAATATGACCATAAGTACAGATTGACTTACAAATAATTATCGTAAGTGTGGCCGAGTGTGATACATACCAGAGGATCTACAGATCAAATAGTCTACAACTGCACAAAATTGAACAGTCCTCTCTAGCTTTTGGCCATGACATTGTGTGAGTGCATCGAGTATATAACCAGAAATAGAGACGAAAATTTAATAAAATTTGTTTGTAAACTCTTCTGCCAAATCATTATAACTGACGAGTGTCCTCAAGTCGAAACAATTGACGGGTGTCATCAATTGGTACACTTCAAATTTACTAATTTCACTTGAGCTTTGCTACAATGGAAAAATAAAGGGAAAAATTAAGAAGAGTTTTAGTTCTCCAAGCAGTGGAATAGGCACAAAGTTCACTAACTTAAGTAGTTTGTATGGTACGGCGGCACCACAGCGGCGCGGCGCACCTGGACGGCGTCGCAGTGAAAGCAACAGGGGCCTTTGTAGTAGCGGGCCTGCAGTATACACAAGCTGGATATCACTAGGGCGAAGTTTGAAACTTGAGCTTTGCTATGATGGACGAAAATTGACAAATTACATATTTAAATAACAATGAAATATGATTCCGTTTGTTTTGTAATTAGACGTTTCGCTGTTTTTCCCACACCGCCGAATGGAACAGCCCCCCATTGTTGGAGATATTATCTTTATTACAATAAATACTGAATGTTTTTGGAATATACGGAGACGTACACACAGGTCAGTTGTCGGCGCCGTACTGTTTCAGCTTTCTAATTTGTGATTTCAGAGCAAACGAGAGTTGATATTTAAAAGTGATATAAGACCCATTTGCCTGATGAGTGGCCAGGAATGGATGGCCCTTATTTCGTCTCTATTTCTGGTTATATAATCGATGTGTGGGTGATACAATTGTTAAGGACGGTACGATTATTAAAAACTTGATTTCAATAATATACGATCACACTAGATGTGGCGGTCCCGAGTTTGATTCATAAATTGGTACTGGTCTGGGTGTTCAGGACAGTGCCCCAGAATGAATTTCAATGCTCTATCTAGTATTCGGAGCACATAGAATTCTCTAATTTGTCAGTTGTCGCATCGTATATCGTAATATTATTATTATTGTGATCAGGTGGTAGGTGTGATTGTCTGGAATATTATTGTGATTATTATTATTAAATTTTTATCTTTATTTTCGCATTTTTTATGATACTAGAGGTCAATTATGAAATCGTTAAGCAACTAAATTGAATGTGTATTTGTTCGGAGCGCAAAAACTGTGTAAAAATATGAAAGACATTGTAGACACAGC